GTCGTCTAATCCAACCCCCTGCTCAGGCAGGAAACCTTATACCATTTCGGACAGATGGCTGTCCAGTCTCTTCTTAAAAACTTCCAGTGTTGGAGCATTCACCGCTTCTGGAGGCAGGTTGTTCCACTGGTTAATTGTTCTCACTGTCAGGAAGTTTCTCCTTAGTTCCAGGTTGCTTCTCTCCTTGATTAGTTTCCATCCGTTGCTTCTTGTCCTGCCTTCAGGCGCTTTGGAGAATAGCTTGACTCACTCTTCTTTGGGGCAGCCCCTGAGATACTGGAAGACTGCTATCCTGTCCCCCCTCGTCCTTCTCTTCGTTAAACTAGACATCCCCAATTCCAGCAACTGTTCCTTATATGTTTTATCCTCCAGTCCCCTAATCATCTTTGTTGCTCTTCTCTGTACTCTTTCTAGGGTCTCAACATCTTTTTTACATCGTGGTGACCCAAACTGGATGTAGTATTCCAAGTGTGGCCTTACCAAGGCCTTGTAAAGTGGCATTAACACTTCACGTGATCTTGATTCTATATATTCCGTTTGAATGGTAAATGATTGTTTATTTTTTTTTTTACAATTTTGATGCTACGATGATTGAGTTCCCTGAGACATTCAGAACAGGCTTATAGATCAGCAGGCTGAGCTGGAAGGTGGAGTTAAACAGGTCAGCAGTTTGGAATCTTTGCCTAGCCACATGAGACCCAAGTAAAACTCCCCCCCCCCACATAAATTCTGTTGATCTTTATCTAGCACTAATTTAGGATTAATGTCAGGCGCAAAGAACCAGGAGCATTTGTTGAGTTCAAAGCAGCAAAGAATTTATTACTGGGGAGACATGATAGCAGTATTCCAGTATTTGAGGGGCGGCCACAAAGAAGAGGGCATCAAACTATTCTCCAAAGCACCAGAGGGCAGGACAAGAAACAATGGATGGAAACTGACCAAAGAGAGAAGCAACCTGGAATTAAGGAGAAACTTCCCGACAGTGAGGACAATTAACCAGTGGAACAGAAGTTGCCTTCAGAAATCGTGGGTGCTCCATCACTGGAGGTTTTTAAGAAGGACTACCTGTAAATGGGAAGTTAAGCCAATCTGGGCTCCAGCCATTTGGGAAACAGAGAACTTGGATAGAGTCGTGTTTGTTCTCTGAAAATAATCGGCAGCAACATTAAAGTGAGGACATCAGCGGACGCCAGCAATGCGTTAATGCTGCGGTCAGATTTCTCCTGCTTTAATGGGCCCAAGAGGGTAATTTGTCCGCAGACATCTGAGAAGCCTAGTGCTTAATAGGGAAGTTCCCAAAGGAATGGAAGAACAGTCTTACGTGCTCAGAGAGAGGCTGAAGTACGACACAAGTGGTTAGAAGGCAGCATTGCAGGCTACTTCTGCTGACTGCCAACTGCCAGCAGTTCGGCAGTTCGATTCTCACTGGCTCAAGGTTGACTCAGCCTTCCATCCTTCTGAGATTGGTAAAATGAGGACCCAGATTGTTGGGGTCAATATGCTGACTCTGTAAACTGCTTAGAGAGGGCTGTAAAGCACTATGAAGCGGTATATAAGTCTAAGGGCTATTGTTATTGCTGTTGCTTCCTTCCTTTCTTCCCCCTCCCTGTTCCTTCTTTCCTTCCCCCTCCCTCCCTCCCTCCCTCCCTCCCTTCCTTCCTCTGCCCACATCCTGAAGTTCGATCCTGACTGGCTCAAGGTTGACTCAGCCTTCCATCTTTCTGAGGTTGGTAAACTGAGGACCCAGATTGCTGGGGGCAAATAGGCTGACTCTGTAAATCACTTAGAGAGGGGTAAAGTACTATGGAGCTGTATATAACTCTTAGTGCTATTGCCCTTCCTTCCTTCCTTCCTTCCTTCTTTCTTTCTTTCTTTCCTTCCAAGAGCCATGGTGGTGCAGAGGTTAGAATGCACTATTGCAGGCTAACTCTGCCCACTGCCAGGAATTCGATCCTGACCGGTTCAAGGTTGACTCAGCCTTCCTTCCTTCCTTCCTTCCTTCCTTCCTTCCTTCCTTCCTTCCTTCCTTCCTTCCTTCCTTCCTTCCTTCCTTCCTTCCTTCCTTTTTGGTCACCACATTACAAAAAAGATGCTGAGGCTTTGGAAAAAGTGCAGAGAAGAGCAACTAAGATGATTAAAGATCTGGAGACTAAACTATTCACTCCTAATTTTGAGGGGAAGGAAGAGCCCCAAGGAGTATTAACTATTTTGATGCTGAATTCCAGCCGTGTCATCTCATTGGGACTACATATCAAATGTTGAGGCTTTACGTTTGATCTGGGGATTAGCCATCACTGTTCTCAGGAGAAAAATGAGAGAATATTGTTGCCTTTCTGAGCGGGCAATCTTTAATTCTGTTAGATGAGGAAAGAGGGACCCAAAGCTTCCTGGTTTGGTCTAGGACAGGGGTAGGCAACCTGGGCTCTTTTATGACTCGTGGACTTCAACTCCCAGCATTCCTGAACCAGCCTTGCTGGCTCAGGAATTCTGGGAGTTGAAGTCCACGAGTCATAAAAGAGCCCAGGTTGCTTACCCCTGGTCTAGGAGAATCTTGATGAAGTTCTTACCTGAGCAAACTTATGGATCTGTTCCACCATCGCTGCAAAGAGAGCATGGACACTTTCGTCAATCAGGCTCTGCATGTAGTGTACAGCTTCCTCATCAGACAGATCCAGACGGAATTTGTCTTGAACCTGAGAAGAACAAGAAAGGAGGACCAAGAACAAGACTCTGAATTTATGATCAACTACACAAAGTAAGCAGAAAATGTATGTATGTATGTATGTATGTCAATATGTCTATCTACCTATCTACAGCTATCTACCTATCTACCTACCTGCCTGCCTGCAGACTATCTATCATCTATCTATCTATCTATCTATCTATCTATCTATCTATCTATCTATCTATCTATCTATCTATCTATCTATCTATCTATCTTCTCTCTCTCTTTTTCTTTTCTTTCTCTCTCTTGTCCTTAGTGTTCTTTGAGCTTAGTTGTTTTCTTGCCGACGTTTCATTACCCAATTAGGTAACATCATGAGTGCTAAAAATACATTTCCTAATTGGATAAGATTGAAAGGTCTGCAAGAACACAAGCAAGCTCAAAGGCACCAAGGACACCACATGACTACAAATATTCTCTTCTGTTGGTCTCTCTCTCTCTCTCTCTCTCTCTCTCTCTCTCTCTCTCTCTCTCTCCATCTGTCTGTCTGTCAGTCTGCTTCTGTCTGTCTGTCTGTCTATCTATCATCTATCTATGATCTCTATCTGTCTCTCTGTCTGTCTCTGTCCGTTCATCCATCCATCCATCCATCCATCCATCCATCCATCCATCCATCCATCCATCTCTCTTATCTATCTCTCTATCTCTCTATGATCTCTATCTGTCTGTCTCTGTCTGTCTCTGTCCGTCCATCCATCTATCCATCCATCCATCCATCTCTCCTCTCTCTCTCTCTCTCTCTGTCTGTCTGCCTTCCTTCTGTCTCTATCTATCTATCTATCTATCTATCTATCTATCTATCTATCTATCTATCTATCTATCTATCTATCTCTATGTCTGCCTTCCTTCTGTCTCTGTATCTATCTATCTATCTATCTATCTATCTATCTATCTATCTATCTATCTATCTATCTATCTATCTATCTATCTATCTATCTATCTATCTATCTATCTATCTATCTATCTATCTATCTATCATCTCTCTCTTTCTCTCATCTATCTAAAAATCCAAATCCAAATTAGGCTCACCTTCCTCGCTGTGTCAAACCAGAGCCACCAATTCTAGCCAGGCCCCATAAATTGTGGAAGTCAGGCCTTTCTATATGTGTGCAAACGTGCATGTGTTGTATCTATGGACGTGGATATGTCTGCCAGCAACCAGACTCAAAAGAAGGCTAAAAGCAGGACAGAAGGCAAAAGACTTTTAGCATGAAATCAATTATCTGTAAAATGAGATGCTTCCTTCATACAACTTTCTTTTTTTTTTTTTTTTTTTTTAAAAAAAGTTTTTTATTATTTTCAACATAGAAAAAAACACATCACAAGTACATCACAATTGAAACCCCCCCCCACCCCCCACCCGGACTTCCCAAACCTAATCCCAGGATACTATTCAACTAAAAGTAACCTTATATTAATATCCCTAACTCCACAAAATATAATTCTACATAAGTAGGTGCAATATATATATATGTAAAAAATTTTTTTTATCTAAAACTTATATTCCACCATTCTATACTTATTTTGAATATAAACAATCCATCTTCTCCATATTAATAAAAATTGTTCATTTGAGT